TTCGCTGCTGCTTTAGTCCTGTTGTTCATGCCCAGACCCCCGCCCTGTTGTCCCTGTCACCACCCCCTCAGATGGAGAAGCCTTGGGTAGGGTTTTGGGCCCTTAGTCCTGGTCGGAGAAGCACAGATGCCTGAAGGAGACGAAGAGTGCTGGGCCACGTCCAGGGAGAAACGCGGGGCTCAGCGACGGGCCTGGAAAAGCCAAGACTTGCTTTGTGTAACACTGGACTCATACCAGGAGTCTTGCCGGCCCGAAAAACACCGGCCTTGAATGGGCCCAGTCTTTGGCAGCGGAGCAAGTGATATTATGTGTAAAATATGTTGGTGTTCAGGGCAGTGTTCCCCAGGAGAGGGGAGGAACTGGCCCTAGGAAGCCCCAGAGATGTGGCTTTGGCCCAGCTGCTCTAGAGCCTTCCCTTTCTTTAACCCTTTGGCCCCAGGACAGCTTTGTGGGGAGAGGGGTTCGGGCACAGGACTTCAGACAGACCTGTCCTTGGCCGCCAAGGGCAGCCCAAAGAAGAGAAAGAAGATGGTCCCCTGTGTAGGCTGCTGTGGGCGGTGGGCTTCCTTGCAGCTCCCTCCTGCAGAGGCTCCGCTCCCCTCAGGGCCTCCTCCATCCTCAGAGCTCATCAGGCACTGCTCTGACAGGCTGAAGGTATAGACCTTTGTTTTAAACAAAAAGCTGCCGCTTTTGCCTTTTTCCCTTTTGATGGGGCGGGTGGGGGCTGCCTGCTTCTGTTCAGGAGGAAAGCCTCATCCTCTCCTACCTGAGACCCATCTTTGCAGGAAGCTGGGACTGAGTCGGAATCAGATTAATCCCCCCAACCCCATGGCTGTGTAATGCTGTTAGCTGAGTCACTGTTTGGCTTCAGTCTAGAAATAACGTGATTAGAGCATCGATCTTGTGCTTCTTGGACTCGGTGAATGCTCTCTCCTTGTTTTCCTTGTTTTTTGGGCTTTGAGGAGCATGATATAGTTTGAGACAAGACCCAGTTTACCTAAGTGAAGAGATTAGTGAAATTTTCAAATCTGACTACTGTTCTTTTAATGGTTGCCTTTTTCACACCTAAATGCTGCCTTAGAGAAAGGGGCTTGTCTCCTCTAATGCTCAGATTTCTAAAACTCGGCTTTTGCAGTGGGTCCTCCCTCAGGGATGCCACTTCTCAGAGCAGGGGGCTGTGGGTGGCACCCTCCACAGCAGGGCTGCCTGCCTCCCTCCCCAGGCCTCTCGCCCGCTGTAGCCCCTGCACCAGGATGTTCGCACCCTGTTTAGGTTGTAGGCTCTGCAAGGGCGCAGGCTCCAGCAGTTCTTTCATCGCCTGGTATAGTCAGTGTTTACACGTGGGAAAACTCCACCTTAGACAAAGTACCAAAGTACAATTGTGTCTCTTCCTTGCCAGAACATAGAGGAACAGAACCTTGGATTTGCAGTAACAGTCTGTAAACTGGCCTGTTTGCCAAAGTGTATGCTGGATGACTGAGGAGCCAAAAAGCCCCCCAAAAGCTGATCTGTGGTGGTTTATTTTGCCTGTGGCCAATCTTCTGTGATGTAGTGTCGTGTTGGTGCGACAGATGATTCAATAAATGTCTACAGCAGATCCCTTGCCTGTTATCTTCATTTACTGTGGCAGTAAAAGGAGCCAGTGCTGTTAGCAGATACGTGAAGTTAGTCTAGGAGGGTCAAGAGAAATTGAATATCCCCGGGCTGGGCACAGCTGGTAAAGTGATGAATGATATTTATCATGTACAAGCTCAGAAACAGCCCACTGGCTGTTCTGACTCTGGACCCAGTGACGGAGGCTCTTCCACATGGTTAGAGAAATTCTCTTTCCTACCCAGAGAGAGCGGCCTGGCAGGTGGAGCTGTAAGAGCCTGACAAGGGCCTTGGCAAGAAGTTTCCGGAGTGTTGAGTTAACCCTTTTCCTTTTAAAAATGTGTCTCTTCATTCCTTAAGAAGAGGAGCAAAGCTTTGAGAACAAGCCAAGATTCCACTTCAGATCAGTTCTTGAGGCTCAGGCAGATGTGCTTATGGTAAACCTGGATGCGATCTCAGGTCTCACCGCGATGACGCACCATGTGCTCCTGAAAAGCACTGTTGCTTAATAACTGAAAAACTAACCGAGGGGGCTCTCTATTAAAAGGGACCCGACAGCAAATCCTCTGATAAGGTAAATAATCCTTAGGTGACATGGATTCTTACTTCCTAGCATTTACTTTATTTTCTGTATCTTACCGGGTTTCTAACGTGTCTGAGCTGGAGTGCAAGAGGTCTTTGCTTTATGCATCTGTAGAGTCTTTCTCCTGAATCAAGGCTTCTGTGTGGACTGTGCTTAAAATCCTGCAAAGCATGGCCTGGTACACGTTACAAGCTGATCTCTCGGTCACGGTCAGGGCTGGCTCTCTGTGTATGGGCAGAGGTCTCCTGACCCTGTGAGTGTCCCAGTTCACTTCCGCCTTTTGCACTAGCCTCTAAATCTTAAGGGTCTCTTTGTGTCTGTGAATATTCAGAGGATCCCAGACTTGTGGATGCTGCCTCTCCCTACAGGGGTCTACTCCTGCACCAACTCAGGGGGTACCTCACCTTCTCACTGGGTTTGGAACCTGGTTATTCCTCTTGCCCTTGGCACAGAGTTGTTTCTCCAAAGGAGCACAAAGTAGCATCTTCCAAGCTTCCTTCTTGACCACTGCCCGTGCTCCCAACAGGTCACTTAAACTGCTTGCTTTTCTTGAATTACCCCTTCTGAGGAAGGGGGCAGCAGGGTACCAGGCTTTCAGGACAGATCTGATTCAAAGTCCCACCTTTGTCTCCACGACCTTGAGCAATTTAAACTCTTAGGATCTGCTTCCTTATTTGTGTTCTGGAGAGAGAGCAATGTGTGTTAAGAGGATGTGTGAAGAGTAAATTAAAAGAATTCATGGGATGTCCCTATCACAGCTTCTGGGACACAATGGTCATCTCAAGAGAATGGCCCATTACAACGGACTCTGAGCGCGGTCTCTTCTATGAGGCCCTTGTAATCACAGGGCCTTCCAGACAGGATGCCCTTGGTATGAAAGTCCCACCCTTATTCCTGCAATGGGAGGTCTCCGTTTTCTAAGTTTCTTCAAGCCCCTTCAGGCTTTTAGAGCTGAAAGAAGATGACGCTACACTCTCCGCCCTCCCTGCCGCCATCTCAGCCTGTGGAAGGGAGTTTGACCTCCCACGTGCGTGTGTGCGCAGCGTGCGTTGAGCTATAAAGAGCTGCTAAAGGGTACCTGTCAGGGAGTGAAAGTGACAAGGACAAGAAAGTCTGATCTGGGACTTCTGAGAACCTATTAAGAATGTGCTGAGTTCGGCTTGCTGTTGCTCTGAGCAGCTTTTTAGTCAGGTCAGGGCAAATTCTTCTTGGGAATTAGCTTTTTAGGAATTACTACCTTTCACATTATATCCAGTGCTCCAGGAATCCTTAAAAAGGTGTGGTTTTTTCCCAACCACTCACCCATTTTTTGACTTTTAATGAAATAGAGTAGACCAGGAATAGTTTTTCAGACTGAGCAGGTAGTTCCTTCTGGAGTCCTCTCCTCCTCTTTAAAGACGGTTCTGGTGTCCAGGCTGGGATGACTGAATGCCTGGAGTTCTCCTGCTTCCTCAGCTTTGTTTGGGGGAAATGGATGTAGTTACACAGCAGGGATGTTTGTTCAACACAATCTGGCATCTGGAGGAAGTGGTCTCCTTCCTTGCTTGTCCCTGAAGTAAACAGAGAGGTCGCAGCTAGGCAGGAAAGACTGCAGGACTCCGTGCAGGCACTTTTAAAAAGGTATTGAGTCTCCAGCCAGTTTCAGGAAATCTGCAACCTCTCTGTCCACAATGCAGGTGCCTAGCTCTCTCTGTGGCAAGGATTAGAAATTCTGGCCGGATTTCTGAAGGAAAAAATAAAGTCATTGGAAGCAGTGGGCTTCTGGCTTTGACCAAGTAGCCTTGGGAACTAAAGCTACAGCCATCCCCCTACCTCGGGCTGCAGTCTTTTAACTTACCAGCTCTATGTGGCAGTCCACTTCAGCCTTGGATTTTGGTATGGCAGTTGGACTGGGGTGGTGGGTAGCTTCAGCTATTTAAGTGAAACAAGGAGAACACGCTGCTCCTTTGCACTGAGTATGGCTGGAGGAAACCTCTTC